AAGCCGCCGAAGCCAGCACTTGCGACAGCCAACATAAGTCAGTAGATTACCGTGTATCCATGAGGTAACTAAATGAGTAACATTTTTACTTTATTCTTAAATTGTCAATGAACATAAAGAGAGGAAAATAGAAAAGTGTATCTACTATGTACATTAGTGGTAGGTTTACGAGTTCGCTTGACGTAAATTCAATTTGGCCATACATGGATAGAAAGACGTTTTTGTGTCTTTGTCCCCCAGCAGGCTACACAACTGTATTTCACCAAATTGGCCTTCTTTAATTAGTGTATAATCAGTGTAATCGTGGAAAACTCCCGACGCATTGAAAGATACGGGATTGATATCCGCCGTCCCTCCCGTTGGCACCCGTGATCGCTGACGCTCACATCGGAGACGAGAGTTCATGACAGTCATGTGTAGTTTTACTGGATCACCAATTTCTCGACGGCCGCTGTGAAGTCCATGCTGAGTAAATAAATCAGCTATGTTGTTCGCGACAGTCTGCAAACGCCTAGCTTCAGCGTTATCGAGGAGCTGATAGAGAACAGTAGAGACGGGTTTAAATCGAAATAACTGACATAACAGTCAAAATCTTTAGCGGCATGAAAGTCAACTAATTACACTTACCCTAGCATAGAGAACATAGGCAGATTTCGGATCGTCATTCATACAGTCAAACCCTTTGATGGTAAGACGAAAAGGCCCATCCCTCAATGAGGATTCACCCGGTTCGGTAGTGGCAAACGAAGTAAGGAGTTTCGATGCAAAAGAAACCTCCCGCTGGTCCGCCAGTAACAGAGTTGCAAGGGTAAAGTGTAATTTGGTCGGCGCAGGGAAAAGATCGCCGTCGATATACCCATAACCTCGATTTTGATCCTTATGGGCGTTTATAAGCAGTTCTTGCTGAAAGCTCACAAAAGCATCCTTTGCCAGCGGATGGAGAACGGGTAGACAAACAAAATGTGTAGGCGGAAGAAAAGACCTGGCATCGGTCAGGATACAATTAATCCTACTGATGACGGCTGAAATATTAGCAGACGATTCTGTCACAATTTTTATATGGGCGTCAGAGGAGGACTGATTAGGGAAGATCAGTTTGCAATTTAGTTCGGCCTCTATTTTTTTCTGAGTGGCTCGGTTGTTGCCGATCACGTTCTTGTGAAAAATCTTCGGCACGTAGACCGTCCCAGTAGATTTACTCTGTTCGCAAGATATAAGTTTCGTAAGAGAGATGGCCGTCGGACCCGAAAATATGGATTCATCCTGTGTGTCATCCGCAGCTAAGGGTTCATCAGGGAAATTGATGTCAGCCTCTTCTTCTAGATGGCCGACCGGTACGATTTTGGTTGAGGACCTAGACGGGTTTTTGCGGTACAAACGACGGTCAATTTTTATGATCTGCGGTAGTAAAGTGTCCATTTCAGAAGCAGGACGACAGAGAATGACGAAATTATTTGAAGTTTACCAGCTAGCGCCCGTTAACAGACCTTAATGAAGGACACACAAAAATAAGGGCATAATGACAATATTTTAGTGTAAGAAGACTACTTAGGAAAAAAATACGTCTGTTTATTAATACCACGGAAATAAAGTCTGAAGAATTCTTCAGACTTCATTTCCGTGGTATTAATAAACAGACGAGTATTTTCTCATTTTTATAGTGCCAATTTTTCCCCTTAAGGGTAAAAATTGGCACTATAAAAATAAGAAAATACTCGAGACTTT